ATTGAATATTCAATTTCTCTTGAGCTTCAATTCCGATACTAAAGTTAGAATCGCTACTCTTGCAAATTAATAATTCTTTAAACAGAACTTAGCTTGTTCAACTTCTTATATTTATATGGTTTGTATTTCTAAAGACAAAAATAGCAAATGAGCCTTAAATAAGTCGTGTATCTTGCATTTTAATTATTAAAATTATTAAATAAGGACCTAACTACAATCGAGCCCAGATAAACGAAATCTGGATAAGTGAGAAACCTCTATAAGCGATAGTCATTGTCCCAACCCCATAAGGGAGAAACTCAGGTTAGAGAGAAACCTCTATAAGTGAGAATAACATCGCGGTATCTTGAATTATTGCTCACCCAGGTTCGAATGTATTAGAAAAAATCAAAGTATTTTTATTTAATAGAATACTTGTAATAATTTTATATCATAAGAAAATATACAAAATAGAGTGCATAAACGATTATTAAATAAAAGTTCAAACATAAAACGCAATCACGGTGGTACATTAACCGACAGGGGCAAATTAGGTCGGGACAGAACCGACATGCCATCGGGGGGATAAACAAACGTTCGAGCAGTCAATCAACAAAGCCACGATGGGAGGACTAATGGAAAATGATAATGCAGCGATGGCGTACAGCGGACGCACTGTGATTGTACACATTCGCCTTTAATGTCGTATGATTAAACATGAAGTGAGGACTTTATCAAATTTTGGCACGCGTTTACTCGCCAGGGTTGGGGCGGATGTTGTTTGAACGGCGCGCATGGAGTCTCCGCTTCCAGATAGAGCCGTCAATACGTCAAGCTGGCAACCCTGAGTGATTGCTCGATAAACAAGTTGTACTAAAAAATGTAGTACCATACTTTGTCTTTGCTAATATAGAAGCGATAGCGCTAAAACTTACCGTAGAATTCCACTGTCGTGGCACTTGTATTGTCCCAGTGTGAGTAGGTAATTTTAACTTTTGTTTATGTTACTCTGTGTTATAATTGGAACTTAAAGTTTAATTTATTTTCTTGTAGTTAATGAAGGCGAGAATAACGGTATCATTTTACTCATTAACATTGCATTTGAAAATGACAACTAACATTGAATCTTACTTTATTCAAAGCTAAAAAAGAACTCTGACAAGACGATTGTTTCGTTGCTAATCCATTATATTATTCATCGGAGTTTATATTACGCTATTATCTAGTTAGACTCTTGGAATAATATATGTCTCAAGAGGAATAACCGCTCAACAAAGAAATACTCTGCCAAGTTTTCTGCAAATTGGTCATCTACCACTTAAATTGAAGTCTTATTTCGGACCATAGGATGGCGTGTCACGCAGTCACGTCATGGCGCTCAGGGAACTGGGGACAATGAATTTGACCGAAAATAAGGAATACAAACAACAAGGTATGAATATGAATTTGGATATGGATGCGTTAAATAAATCTACTAATAATAAAAGCATCAATATAAAGATTCGGTTTATGTCAGTGTTGCAATTTACATTTTTTCTTTCCTGTTATCAATTTTTGGAGTTTACGTCTAGTTTTTTATTTATTCGAATAAGATGGATAAATCCTTTTAGATATGATGCGCTAGGAAATAGTTGAAATGGAGAAAAGAAATACATGCATTTTTATTTATCTCCTCCGCCTGATATTGGTACCAGTACGTAACGCATCCTTAATATATTTTCTTGCTGCCGATGTCCACTTTTCAAACGTATTCCATGAAGGAAAATACGCGTGAATAGACTCAAAGACCAATACTCATCCTACCCCCTTGTTCTTTTGCATATTTTTACACGCAGAACCGTTTCTGACTTTGAAATTTCGTGTATTTTCACATTATTACTAAACATAACTGATACTTTTCATGTTTACGGCGATGTTTAAAATCGAATTCTTGCCTTGAATTGAAAAGCTCAGAATGTTTTTTTTTTATATTTTAAACTTTACTAGGGCTATCAAAAGGGTAGTGATATGTCACATCCATTAAGTTTCGTGCTCATCTGTAGCATTCACATGGGCCGCGCAAGATGCGACGGCCCTCTGCTCCGCCATCCGTCAGACTGTCGGACCTGCGCCACTACACGGCAATGCACTTAACTTCACGCCGACCGTACATGTGTCTACTGAGGGGACTCCTACTTGTTAATAGTTATGAAGGGCCACGCGGAGTGGTCATCCCGCAACAGACAACCAATTATGAGCACCATCATGACAGATTGCGGCGATTTGAGCGTTTGACTATTAAATGGCCGGACTTGCCTGCATTGCCATATCAATTTAATTGTTCGTATTTAATAAGTTTTAACATTACTTGCTTTTGGGCTTTTGTTTATAAGTTTAGTCACTATAAGTTAATAAAACATAAGTGTAAGTATGATATACATATCTGTAATTGTCTTTTTATTTCCTCTCCGACAAAAAAGGCAGAATATATTTCGGATAAAGGCGCGGTGCGGTGACGCCTTGCTTAGTCCATATCTCTATAGTCAAAGTTAAGAGCCAATGCCGGGACTCGTACAGAAACAAATTTAGTTTCATTTCACTTGTTGATTGTATTGGAGTAAAGTGACGTTTATTATTTACGTAATAAAGAATATAAAAAATAGCCACTTCCTACTTCAGTTAAAAAGAAAAAAATCTTGTTAAATACTTTAAACTTTTTAGTAGAAAAAGTCTGAGTGCACTTTCTTCTTTATTACTTTTCGAATACCGTTACATTTAATTCATTTTGAATTTAATATTTTATGTTATGAATATGATTAGTTCAATTCAATGACATTAAATCTTTAATATTCTCCATAATTCTTAATATCGGTAGTTGTCATGTTGAAATTCCTACGTCTCTAGGCTCCAATATCCGCAATGCTCGACGTCTAGACAAAAGCGATTAAGCCGCATCCCTGCATGTGACGTCGTCTCAAATATTATTAGTAATCGATCCAAAGAACGGCTATGTTCACTCCATGATAAATACTGTCACACCTTAAAGTTTAGTGTTTACTGTACACACTTTACTAATATTATAAATTTGAATGTTTGGTGAGAACGTATCGTCAGAACAGTTGCATGGATCTCGCTGAAATTTGGTTTAGATGTAGTACATAGCCTGTAGGAACACATAGGCTGCTATATTTTTAACTACGCGTGGACAGATTCATAGGCGACAGCATGTTTAATAAAAGATTGACTCCCTAACCGTGGGTTACTGAGACTAAAATATGCGCTTAAAACATATTCTTGTCTCTGTTTTGTCAAACATAATGACAAGGATGACGATATGTTTTATACGGAGATTTTGGTCTCTGAAAAAAGAATAAAGGTTTTACTTATAGTCGGGTTTAACAAACACCTAGATATAAAATATTTGCACTTTGCATTACTAATTTAATTAGATTAATAATAAAAACACATTATACGGTTAAATAAAATATTTATTTTATAACATTTCAATCATAAGTAATAAGTTTCCAATCACAATACGCTTTAAGTACATCCTAAACAAAGCTGAACTATCATACATTATGTAAATTACACTATACACATAATATAAATGACCACATTGCCCCAATTCCAAAAAAAAAAGAAATAAAAAATAAAAATTGATACATAGGCCTATCATTCTTTTGCTATAAAATAAAAAGTAACTTAAAAATAGACGTAGGAGTAATATATCCTCTTTAAAGTAATGTTTCTATTCCAGGGTTGCCATCTACAAGTGGTCCCGATACCAAAAATTGAACCTAATTAGTCGCGACAGGCTAACACGCGCGTTTAACCGCGCAGTGGAAAAGTAGTCTAAATATTGTATGTTGACTATAACTTAAAGCTATGTAAACATAGAAAAACTATGACTAAGTTTTGTAGATAAATCTATAAATTTTTATATTGCACTTAAATATTATTAAACAAATTAGTTAACGATCTAAAAACGTTAATTCGAAAATTACATTTAACAATTTTGTACATTTTTAGAATATATGTTACATTTCCATTTTTTATAAAGATTAATTGACAATATCTAATAAATATAAGTATTTATCATCATCAGCTCACTACACGTCCCCACCGAGGGGCTCGGAGCCTACCGAAAGTTATAGATGATTAGGCCATAGTCAACCACGTTGGCCAAGTGCGGGTTGACTTCACACATATCTTTGAATTTCTTCTCAGATATGTGCAGGTTGCATCACGATGTTTTCCTTTTGTATTTGTATAATTATTTCCTTTCCAAATGTACATATGTAAATCGGAAATCGAAAAACATATTGGTACACGGCGGGATTCGAACTCAAACCTACAGATTGCAAGTCAAGTGCTTGAATCCTGAGCCACTGATGTTTAACGAATAACGTTTGTATTTATATAAATTATATGCTTTTATTACTTTTAAAAAAGCTACAAGAACAAACGCACTTTCTTATAGTGTCTATTTAAGAAAGATTAGTTTGGCAACTGACGCCTATAAAATATCGAATTAATTTTATATGAGGACTAACGTTGTATTTAATGGACGGTCGTCATATTGTCGGAGTGTCCGCGCATCACGAACAACTATGAACTATCGAGAATTGGTCCTGTAATAAAATAAATCGAAATAAATGGGTACTATAATTTAGGTATATTATAAATTTTTGAATTTATTACAGTCTATGTATCGCACAATTAATTAAAAAAAACCTAAATACACTTTTTTTTTATTTGTCAATATCTAAATTTGTGGTTAAATATTTTATTTTTATTGTTATTCAAAAACGCACAATTTTCGATTGCAAGTTCTATGAGAACAAGTATCGTAAATAGAAAATTTTCATAATCGATTTTAATCAACCCATCTCTAGTGAAATGTCAAATGAATTGTCAAACTTAATCTATCTTAAATAGACACACTATAGTAGATTATTTTAGAGAAGCATACGAATAAAAATAGTTGAAAAATATAACTATATTTTTTCAAATAGTACAAACTACGTACTATTAGAAATATATAAAAATTGTTTTATTAAAATTGTACAAAGATTTAAGGTAAGATAGATTGAAAGATTATTAAATTCAAGATTATGCATTGTTAAACTCTCATAAGCACTTTACATCTTAATTATTATTTTAGAAAATATTAAAAATGATTAAATTATAAAATTTACAATAGAAAAAAAAAAGCAAAGAATCTCCATAATTAATTTTGATCCCATCCAAGAGATCGATCGACAGCCATTATCCATTGTTTGTATCTCATATCGCGTTCATCTTCGGTAATACGAGGATTGTATGTAATACCAACATTCATGGGTATAGATTCACCATGTTTTGCACCATCGATGCCCCAATATGCAACTAACGCGGCCCCTAAAGCCGTACTCTCAGCGAAACCAGCTTTGATTACCTCTATACCTATTAAATCAGCTTGCATCTGCATGACCAAGGCATTCGATGTCATCCCACCATCAACCTTGAATCGAATTATACATTTATAATTATATAATTAAAATCACAAGGTCAATTGAAAGTTTGCACATGGCAATACTAACATAATATAACATTGTAGACCAAAATCTCTGTATAAAACATATCGTCATTCTTGTAACTATCATTCACAAAACACAGTTAACAATATATTTTAAACAGAGATTTTGGTCTCACAAACCAAGTAATATCTTGTAATACTAAATTATGACAGCTCACTAGCGCCCCTCTGTCAAAGTCAATTTATTTTCTTTTATGTAATTTTTGATGTCTAAGTAGGTTTTATATATATTCCGACAGAACTAACACTGGTAGTAGCGTCTCTCACCGGTTTAAATATCCTTGTTTAACTTAAGACGATCAGAAAGAACAGTTGTTAAACTTTGCGTATTATTGTTTGTCAAACAACTATTTGGAGCGGTCAAACTAAGAAATATGACTATGAGCTATGATCTCAATAAATGGATAGGCAATTGCTTAAAAAAGACATTTTACTTCGTTCCGATTTTAACGCGCCTGTTACTGTTACGTGTCAGTTAATTATATCTGTATTATTAGTTCGAATTCTGACCACCGTTACAAACCGCTACTACCATCAGCGTCAAAATGGCGATAATCAAATAGACACAGAATACTAAGTCTTACAGCCAGTCTATTTATAGAGGTCAGAGCTATGAGAGTAAAATAAATTGAATAAAATGTGTTACCTTAAGCAACTGAAGAGGAATTCCGCAGTCCTCATTCATAGCATCCAAAATATCTCGCACTTGGAAACAAACTGCTTCAAGAGCTGCTTTAATTATATGATGTGAATTTGTGTCTTTAGTTATACCGCAAATAACCCTGGAAATAGTAAAATATATTTGTAATATATTGTCTTTCCGTCGACTCCGTCCGCGCGGTATTAAAAAAAATCTTAATAAGTAGCCTATGTTTTTTTCCAGACTATGTTCTAAGTCTGTGCCAAATTTCATCAAGATCCGTTGACCCATTCCGGAGATATCTTTAAACAAACTTCCATCGATCCATCTAAACTTTCGCATTTATAATACTAGTCAGAATTAAGATTACATTTATGTGCTCTTTACTTCGCTATATAATACTAAGTTTCTTAGTTAATCAGAGTTAAGAGCATTGTAAATCTCTCCGGCACACTTTTTGAACATATTCCAACATTTCACTAAGTTTAATGTTGAAAACTTAAGAAAGTTTAATAATAATCATGTCCATTAGATCGCAATGCACAATCTTACGCGAGCAAAATTCAATAGAATTTTATTCTTTTAAATAATTCATTTAAATAACAACAAAAAGATCTCTTACCCTCTTGCATCTTGCCTCCAATGAGGCGCATATAAACCACTGAATGCTGGAACAAATATAACACTGCCATTTTCTGTTGCCATTTCAGCGAGAGTCTGAGACTCCTTGGCATCTTCTATCAGACCAATGTTGTCTTTGAGCCAGCCTAAAGCCGCACCGGCTACTGCTACCTGGAATAACATTTTAGATTTACCTAATTTTTTTTTTTATTATATAAACAAACTGTGTGGTATTAAAAGAAAAACTTAATTAGTAGCCTATTTGTTCTTCCTGTTCTACATCTATTAGAAATTTCAGCGAGATTCATACAACCATTCTGGAGATACCTTCTAACATCCATCTATCTAAAATTTCGCATTTCTAATATTAGTAAGACGTTAAACTCAAAAAAGACGTCAATCTTCAGTCAGACCATATGTTAAGCATTCTCTTTGAAATAAAAAAAAGATATCTCCCTTATATGGGAAAGTGTTTCTTGTGAAATACAAAAACAATCTTTAACATACCGATCCTTCTAAAGCATATGCGGGTTGACTTTTACTTCCCAATTGATATGCTACTGTAGTGAGTAAACCCCGACTTGAATTTACTCGGATATCTCCTGTATTGTATAAAACAAAGCATCCTGTACCATAAGTTGCCTTGGCTTGTCCTTTTTCTAAACACATCTGACCGACTAAGGCGGCTTGTTGATCACCGAGACATCCAGATATTGGTATACCCTGTAAGGGTCCATTTGCTATGTATCCATAAATCTGTGAACAAAGTTCAAATTAATTAATTTGTTTTTTTTTTATTTCTATAATTTGTAACTATTAAACAAAATGAGTTGTTTTTTTTCCAAATGTAGTTATCATTATCATTGAATTTTGGGACACACTGTATATATTGTATTTAAATTCAATGTATATATTGTGGAAATTAGCCTACCAAAACCAAAAATCACTGAATCTCTTCTAGCGATCATGATTATATGAATAGTAAACAAAAATGTTTACATTTTGTAAGTAAACAACTCGCAACACTAAAGGAATCCTACTAAAGTTACTAAGACTCCGGAAGTAACAGCCGATCTCCGAACCCTTGCTACAAAAGTCAGAAATCATGATATCTGTCATTTGACGAGGTCTTCAGAAGCAACACTTAATACAATAGTTAGTAAATACATGTAAATGACAACAGATAACATAAATAGTAAAAGAGTATATAATTAGTTTTACAAACAGGATATAATTACATCTTATCTCAATTGTGCATTGTACAACAGCGTGTAAGTAATTAAAAGTTCAAAGTACATTTGTTTCTCATTGATAATATAAAAGCATAAAGTAAATATAGTCTTGCAGTTTAGATAATGGAGAGATGAAATAAACAAGGTATTATTTTAATACAATATCTTTGTTCAAGTATTTAAATCAAAATGAGAACTTTTTTAAATTTTTTTGAAAATTATATATTTTTGAAAATTATATACTCCGTTAACTAAAAACAGACAACATAGCAGAGCTCTATGCTGTATAGAAGTGACAATAACTTTAGATAAACCACATGATCACCCGTCAGTTCTATACATTTTTGAAGTTCTTTATGGAATCGCTTTGGAGCGAATTCACTTTGTCTAGCCCCGCAGTACTTCAGCTGTCATATTTTACTTAACTACTATTTGAAAACGGAAAATATGCATAAAAATAGCAAATGTACCTCAGAACTGGATTTGATCTCTGGTAGAACTGATTTTGACACTTCAAAGAATTTGAGCAATAACGCGTCCCACTCCAAAGTTTCAATGTTCATCAACATTGTTCTTGATGCATTACTGACATCGGTAACATGTTTCCCACCATTTGCCCCTCCTGTAAATCAAACATTATACTAAAATAACTAAAAATATTTTATGATTATCATAAAGTAAACAAAAGTATCAGTGGTAGGCACAAACAATAATAACAGGCATGAAATGGAAGCCTAATTTTAGTCTTTTTCCCTTCCCTCCCTTTTCTTATTAGGAAAGAACGAGAAGAGGGAAGTGGATTTGACAGAGGGGAGAATGCATAAGTGGGAATCTTCTCTTTCTGTGCGTCCCCTCGTTTAAGGATAGGTAATACATCTACAATTATGGAAGTCCGTGGGCAGTGTATAATTCACTATTTGGGCGAATTGTGGTGGTCAAAATTAGACCTAAATGTTTTCCTTATAAACGTTTATGACTATTAATAGTAACTTCATAATAATAATTGCTGTTTACTTCTTAAAACTAGTAAGCTGGTAAAACATTATGTACCTGTTAAATTCCATATGATCCAAGTGTCCACAGTACCAAAGCAACAACTTCCTTTCTTCATAGCATTGTTAACTACATCAACCTTGTCACTAAGCCAACGGAGTTTAACTGCGCTGAAGTAGGGTGATAGAGGAAGACCACATAATGGCTGAAACCGATGATTTAAATCTGCATTGAAATACCATTCCAAAAATTTACTAAACAAAACTATAACAAGCATTGTAATTAGTAATAAAGTGTTTATAAAAAAATGAAAAAATATTGTATTTCTTGAATATCTTGACTACACAATTTAAAATAGTACATGCTCCATCTTACAAAAAGAAACACTCTATATCTAAATAAATAATAATATTACCTTCAAATAGTTCTTGTTTCTAGTTTTATTCGGTACATTGTCTAATAATTTATCTATTGTGGTTGTTGTTCTCATATCTAACCAAACTATGGCATTATGCAATGGCTTTCCTGTTTCTCTATCCCATACAATGGTTGTTTCTCTTTGGTTTGTTACACCTACAGCTACTATATCCTGGAATAATAAACACATAAATAATACTAAAATATTATTAAACCTATCATTGATATTAAAAAAAATAGCTATTAGATTTTCTATATCATTAACAAAAATAAAATTATATTCCTTTAATAAACAAGTCTTTTTTTATTGTACTTGTTCTTATTTACCAGTGTGTACCCAAATAGTACATTAAATTTTAATTGAATGTCCATGAAGTTATGGTAATTTATACAAATGAGAAATTTATCAAACACACAAGCAGCAAGTGACAATACAGGGTCAAAAAGGAAAAAAAGTACACTATTTTATTTACTTTGTTTTAATTATAAAAATAATATTCATGTCCATTGGCTCTATACATACAATTGAATAAAGATTGTCTTGTTTAATACAAACATATATGAATACAGTTGAACCCAGAAAAGGCGGAAACCTCTATAAACAATAGTCCTGACGGACAACAACTAAGGATTTTGTGGTCCACTCTTCCTTATCCAGGTCCAACTGTATATTAGTGTAAAATGAATTGTGACTATGTATACCATGTCTATGAAATAATTGGTTATGTAACCACAACAAACATGCTTATTTTTCTGATTATATAATAAGGAAATTCAACCTAATGTAGTGAATAAAAAAATATGTTTATATGCATTATGTTTTTGTTAACAACATTAATATCAGATGCTGTTGATAGATTTGAAAACTAATGAAACTTAATTAGAAGCTATAAAGAACATTCATTTTGTGAGACTGCAGAATTGAATTATCCACAAGATACAAAGGCAAACAAAGATACATCGACACTAATAAACTATAGTACAATATAGTGGTAATTAAATTAAAAGATATATAAACTCACCTTAGGACTTCCACCCAGAAGAACTAATTTTTCAACGGCTTTTTCAATACAGGTTGTCACAACCTCTAAAATATCGAGGGGGTCTTGTTCAACCCATCCTTCTTGAGGAAAGTGTTGTGTTAATTCCTTCTGGTGTAGAGCTATTACTTCAGATGAATTGGCTTTAAATATTATAAATCGTGCACTAGATGTTCCTTCATCAATAGCACCAACTAAAGGGCCAAATTTTCCAAAACCCTGTGTCATGTTGGTGTTACTCATTTCTTATTAAGGTCCTTTGTCTTAAGCCGTTGATCGATTATTTGCAAACTATTGTGTATTTTGCATAGCCTATTGTAAACAAAACAAATACGTTACGTATACGTTCACAGACTTGAAAATTGCGGACCAAGGTGAAGTTAGCACAGGAAACAAAACTCTTGTGAACACGCGTGATAAGTGATAACAATCAAATTAGATTTTATTTTTTTTAAGTTTAATTTTGTCGATAAACCATTGATAAATTTATTCGCTAAATTCTATTTTTTTAATAAGCACTACACAATATTGTTTCGTTCGTTTTAAAAAATTAATTCTATTTTGGATTAATGACTTTGTAATTACGAAGCGGTACTGCCGTACACAAACACGACCACTACACTACACAAGTGAAGTGCAATTAATTTCAATGATGATGAAATGAAAATACTCAGATTAAATAACTTCACGCTATTTCATCTCTGTGAACTATAATCAAGTATCGATACTAGACGAGTGGAAATCAGCTCTGAAGTTCAGGCCACATATACTTGAATCGTTCAGCTGTGGCTCAACAACTATATTGGCCACGCACGGCTCGTTGTGAAACAATATAACTATGTGAATCGACGAGCCTCGAGCCGAGTAACTCACAATTCGCAATTTGAAACTATGCAGGTACAAATTCAGCTTAACTACGGTCAGATTTACACATGTGAACCGTGAGCTGATCTGCAAGTCATCAATTTTATTCGAGACTAATCGATGTGCATTTGCCGATGTAAATAAAATATGTACCTACCGATTAGGAATACTCGTCAAAATTGGTTCAGTCGTTTAGGCGCTAGGCTCTCATAATGCACACAAATATACATACATAAAGACAAACTTTCTGTACAAGATCTTGACAATGTCATTCATTGCCGTTGATAAGGGGGTACTAATGAGCTGTCATAATTTAGTGTAACTTATGCCCACCAGTAGGGTTTGTCAAAAAGCATTTGCTTCGAGGCGATTTCTTAGCGAACTTCAAAAATGTATAGAGCTGGCAGACTGACTTTCGATAAGTCATGTGATTGACGCGTGTCAGTTACATACATTTTTGAAATTCGTTATAGAATCGCTTCGAGGCGAATGCTCTTTGTTTAACATCCACAGTTAGGATAGCCTTGTCGGTTTGTATTATATTATAATATATTTTATCATTTTATTAGATTTGAAGCTGTTTGTGTCAGACAGACCAATTGTCTGGTTCTTAAGTTGCCAAAGAACTAGAGTTGTCACGTCGGGCAGAAGAGTGCTGTTGTTCGCGACGTGCTAAATCAAATGATTGGTAATAATAATAATAAACTCATTTAATCCATTCAGTAGGCAATCAAACATTTAATAGATATAACAACTTTACACCAGGTAGTCTGACTAAAAATAAAAGTTTTAAACAAGTCCCAAAATGTCTGCTTCATACTCTTGTGAATGCTAGCAAATTCAATAATATAGGTATTTACCCTACCCATTTACACAGTTTCTTAGGTATATAAAAAAACAGTATAGGCCACCCGTTTCTAATTTACTTAGACAATTCGAGGGACCGACAAACCGACAGACACATGGTCGACCGAATTAATTCATAAAATAACGTACTAAATTACGACACTTTATGGGCTGCCATTTTCTATGCAGCCCATAAAGTTAAAAAATAAAAAGCGTTTCAAACATGGCGGCCGCCCCTGGCGTCGAAATTGAATACCAACGTTGCTGAATCAGCTGAGGGTCGAAACTCGCCAGTTGTAGCGTACCGTATTGGCATCGTGTTCATTTTGCGTCGAGTCGCAGTGCTGTTTGTATCATCGTCGCGTTTTTAAATACAACACGTGGTTTGATATAAACGAGACTATGTGTTGACATGGAGTAAGCCTACTGGTAAGTAGTTATTTTTGAATATTAATTTGGATCAATTAACTGATAAATTGTAGAATAACTAACTTCACAAGTTGCTGATTATTCAAAATTGGACTTTATGGGGTGCTGTTAAGACAATGAATTGTTTGAGTAGTCTTACTGTTAAATAAGTACGTTTTGTATGTAGACACGTAGGGTTTGAACATACACGAGTGCACGATAAAGAATAAAAGCCAAATAGCACAAAAATTAAGAATAAAAGCACTAAGTACGTAGGTACCTACTTATTTAATAATTTGTTATTGCCATTTATTTTGGTTTTAATAACATATTTTTTTAAACCTAAATAGTTTTTGGAATTTCTTATAATGTATGTAATTATCTAGTAAATACCTGTAAATATTTGTAAACGTAATTAGGTACGTTTATCGAATAAGTAATTTATAATCTTAATCGCTACAGATAGAGATTATTTTTATCCTAATAAACGTTTGACTCGTTTGAAGCGCTAGTTTACCCCACTTGCAATTTGATAAAACACAACACACGCTGCATAGAACACATTAGAGACTGGACGTAAAGGGACGCGGGGGAGGGCCATACCCTTACGCCCGCTTACATCTAACCGCTGTGAACCCCGGAACCCACTCGTGAAGAACAATATTATTCTCGCATCTCATCACCGGAACGGCTCAACGGATCTTGATGAAATTGCGCACAAATACATAGTCTGGAAGAACACATTTTTTTAATTCGATGTGCACGGCTTCGCGTGTGACAGCTCGTATTATATAAGTTAAGAATCATCTTGTATAAACAAAGTCGATGAGCAAGCTAATAGTTGGAATTGATAATCAAGTAAATTATAGAAAATGTAGATGTTTTGAGATTAGTATGTAATAATAGCAGTTTTATTTTAACCAAAAAAGTATTAATGCAGCAAGTACCAACCAATCATCATCCTTCATGGATAGGACACAACATGGGAGTAGAAGAAATAAAACTTCATTGTGAAAAAAACATTAGAATTCAAAGGAGTTAAAAATATATTGGAGAAGACGACGTACATAATCTTGTGGCTATATTGCCTGGGAGATAAAGTTTTTAAAACTACAGAAGGTAGACGGAAGGAAGCCCCAGGGGGTGACAAATAAAGTCCTAAAATCGTGTTTTTTCGTTCGCCACTTAGTCTCACGGGGTAATCAAACCTTTAATGGTATGGCAAGTTACTGGACTTCCTTTTTTTACAGGTACTACATCGCCACCAAGCAATTAGTCGCCTTATGTGAATCGTGAAACTCGAATTATCCTTTACAAATAAATACGTGTGAACGAAAACCATGTTTTTAATTTACATTCTTCTAATATTAATATTCCCTTATACCAATGTGGCAAATGAGCAAGTAAGCAGATCACCTGGTGTTATGTGTCTAGTGTTGCACACAGCACAGAGTCGTTGCCTCCCAAAATAGGTTACTTTCTTATGTTATACACACTTTACTAAAAAGTATGTGATAATATTGACGACAACTGTTTCAGTTTTGAAATATCATAGGTGGCTAATATCCCATTCGTTTTGGATAAATAACTCAAAGCGCCATCTTTTGGCAAACGTCCCAATTCATATGCTTCCCTGTATTCCCGTTGCGATACGAATACTGTAAATATTCCAGCGAAATTCCGTTAGAGGTCTCTGCCTGTGTGACTTGAAATTTTACACATTGGTTTTTGTTACTATGTCCCAAGAAAAGATTTTACGAAATTCATCCCCTTAAAGTGTAAAGACGTGGTCCAATCTGTATAAAATAACGATATTTCTACATAATACTACTACCAAAATGAAATAATCGTTTTTTAGAGCAAATTGAAAATTGAGATAAATGGTTTTCAGCAGAAAATTAACTACGTGTTTCAGGATTTTTTTGAAATTTATCATATAACAGTTCAAATAGGGTGTGGTTCCACTGTTGAACTCCACGTGGATGATGTATTCAGCTCCAATCAGCCTGTTTTGTCCTAAATGTAATGTTTAAGAACAAACGGATTACAAAAGAGGGTATGTTTTAAATTACCTCTTTCCTTAATAAACATTTCCCTTCAACTGTATAGCTGAAAACTGATTTTTTTTAGTATAAACGTCGATGACACTTTACTTATTATAACGCAGTAATTTTTTCAATTCTTTCGTAAATCAAACTAATGGATTGTTACGACCTTCCAGCCTTTTTGTCAAATCTGTTGAATAAAACCTTGACGTAAGCAAGAACTAGAACAGTTTGTTTTTGCTGTTTGTAATTTCGAATTCTAAAATGTTCGTGCAGATAATTTCTTTGATAAAGCATTACTAATAGTTTTAGCAGTAAATATATTAAGATAACCACTGCTTCCATTACGAACAAAGATAGACAGAACGTATTATCATATGGTATTTGACGTAGATAAGAATTTACTTATTTAAATTACAGACGAATATGTTTACTACAACAGCACAAGAATGATTGGTTAATTTTATAAAATGTACCAACATGTATGAAAAACTTTTTGGAATGTTCACATACATTAAATTATAATATGAGGAAATATTTTATTAAATCGTAACGAGGTCGTATCACACCACACTCCGTTGGGTAAAAATAACTTATTTACATATATACAGTGTTGTAGTTTTATGACCTTTTACCACTTTTACAATATTCTCAACCCACACAGAAGATATTCGCATAAAATGTTTATTTAAGTATACGCGAATGGTAAATAAATTAATATTATAAAGCTTGTATAACTCGTGTTCTTGAAAACATCTCGTAATACACATTTAACGCATGTTCCGAGAAATAAAATATTAACAGTTGTTGCTGGTTTTGCTACGGCTGTTAATATTTAATATGAAAAACAACGGTACTCATCGCAACAATTGAGGAGATAAAAGTCTTACCCACATATGAAAATAATTCTAGTAAAGGTTACCTGCTATGGATTAGGAGTGGTCTACGAAAGGCTTACGTAGACAGTTCGTAGACTGCCTGAAAACTTAATCGGTGAGATTATTATGCTATCCCAATAATAAACGGGGTGAAAGTTTTTGGTGTTACCTCCAAATAAAGGCTTCAAATGTTGTATAACACGATTATTAAGCGACTTAAACCACAAATGAGTTCACTCCTGGCGTAACGATTTCAATGAATCCTTTTTTTTTTAATTTTGTGCTAATCGCATTAAAGTCAACATAGTTTTTTTGACTAGTTATACCCTTCTTAAAAAAGGCTATCCAAATTTCAGATACTATTGGTTAAGTCTTTCGCATATCGTCGCGGGTATCGAGTAGTGCACGACCCGCGCACATTAAACAGAATCGTCGACGCGTGTCGCCTATTCGGTCAGCTTAAGAATAACGATTACACGGCTGATATGAATTTACAAAATGCCAACTGTAGATATTTACTAAGACATCTAGTAAATCGTAGCGACTTTTTAGCAACGTATATACTAACTAGATAATCAGCGAGCGACTGACTTCGGTGACGAATGTACAAAATATCAGTGATGCGTACGTATAAAACTCTATGATATTGTTTTCGGTAAGTCGCGTAG